ATTAAAACTGTGAAAGATAAACCAAGTAAATGGGATTTTAAATATTATGTAAGGTCTGGTGTCTCGGGCATCATCTATGACTTTATACTTTATGGTAATGAAGATACCTTTCGTAACCATAATTTTTCCGAAGAAGAAGAATCTCTTGGTTTTGGCGCTCAAGTAGTCATTGCTTTGTGTCAGAATATCCAACGGAAGCCAGCAATTATCTGTTACGATAATTTCTTTTCGTCATCTGACTGATTCGTTATCTGACAAAACAACTTAATCTAATAAAAAACACCGGCCAAGTGTGAGTCGGACTCGCGCGGGAAAGGTTCCGTACAATAGTAAAACACGTTTCTAGTAGGGGAGCCCCCTTTAATTGTTGTTTTGTTGTTATAGCGGCAAAAGAAATACACATTCTGTGAAAATTTCAACAGTCTAGCTATTACGGGTCACGAGATGCAGCCCGCTGACAGACAGACGGACGGACGGACGGACAACGGAGGCTAATTTATAGAGTCCCGTTGGTTACTCTTCGGGTACGGAACCTTAAAAAGTGCGGTTACCAACCAATAATGCAACCTATGAGAGAGGCTTTGTTCAGCAGTGGACTTTTGATCGGTGCTAATAAATGAGCTATAAGTATAGTATTGACGGAAAATATATTATATTTATTTGCATTTACATTACATTACTTAATTGCATTCCTTAAGACAAAACAATACAAAGGGCGGACTTAATGCCTTGAGGCATTCTCTATATAACTTTTCAAATGAGAAAAATCTTCCGTAAGTAGATTATTGAGCTTTTTGATACAAGTTTTGGCACACCTTTTAGCGCCTTGAATTGGCTTTTAACTTTTGTAATTTTGGAATATTTATTTATTGATTGAAAAGTATAATCTGAATATCGCACACGATACTATCACAGAATACATATACCCTGACGGGGATACTATTGAGCTGGAGCATAGAATGGGCGACACCGACAGTCAGTTGCGAAAGCGCGCAGTTTGCGCACGCGCCGCCGTTCGATTTTAGTGTCAGTGTTTTAGGCGGGAAAAATAGTGCTGTAACACATAAATTTAAACGGTAAATACGTTTGGTTTTCTGAAAGATTTAGTGCGATATTTTAAAATTACAAATATCATTAATTCATTATTCACAAAAGTCTATTGCTGAACTAATCTATGGGAAAGGCATATTTCCCATAGATTGGCAAGCACAGTTTTTATTATTATTATTGAGTTTTTATCCGAAAAATGTTGCTGCCTATCTCCTGTTTCAGTAAAAATAATGTATATCTTAAATTAAATATATGTTTGTAATTTTTGCAAATCTTTGTCTTAATAAAATAATATATTGCATATTTTTTAATAGCTGCTTTCTTTTAAAATTTTCACATCTACATTTCTTACTTAGGTTATTATGATTAAAAAATATGTTAGGTAAATAATGGTTTGCAAGTAAAATATAACTTCTATTATTAATAGTTCCTGTGATTCCCGTTAAGTGTTCTATTAGAATCAGTATTCCAATGCATATAAATTTTTTTAAGAAACTACTAATAAAAAATATTTTATTAATAAAATCTACTTTTATGTGGTATTACTACCTCTTACTGATACGAGCCGATGTTAGAGCAAATAAAGCGGGATCTTTGACAATCCTCTTACTCCCTGAACAATCCAAACCACATACAATTTGCATATTTTTTTAAAATAAAATAAAACAAATATTTGTCGAGTTTAAAAATAAAGTTATTTTTATACGTTTAAATACTGATTCTGATAACATATTTAACGGGAACCACAGGGTTTTATATATATATATTGATAACCCAAATGACCAGGACTTATAAGATATTATCATGTAAAATAATTTAAGTGTACGTAATAGTTACTTGATATTATATAGAAATAAATTATTTTGCGATGTGTCAACATGATGTAGGCATTATTTTTAATGACAATTAAGTCGAAATATAAATCGTGGTTATTTCGTAGCTGAAATGGTAAATAGAGACTTACGTGCACTACCTATATTTTTATCTCATTTAGATTAAAAGCGACTTGGGTCTGGGTGCATCATGCCGTCTAAATCACACCTATAAACAGTTCTAATTAAATTGTTCAATTCACTATGTGATGTCATCACTTCCAGTAAGTTAGTAACGAAGCGTGATGAACTATGTATAACATATTACTCATGATTGTATGATAATATAATTAACAATTTCAATATTATGACTGACCTCAAAAATACAACGATACATTGTGCACGATAAATCTCAAAGATAGTAAATAAAAAGAGATAAAATAATTTATTTCGATTTCATCAATCTTTAATAATAGCGATTCGGTCTATACCAGAGACAATAACCTAATGGTAACGGCCTGCTAAACTAAAGGGTTGTGGGTTCGAGCACAGATTACTAAATAGTTTACTAAAATAGTTTACTACTTGGTTCGAGCCCGTTATTCGACAACAACTGTCGTGACTCCCTAATAGATCTAAGTACGAATTTAAGTTACATGGGGTGGTAACCCGAATATTATTAGTGTTAATAGCATTGTGATTTTTTCAAATAAAATGTCAAAATAAATAGTACCTTTAGCTTTACTGCCAACATCAATTCCTCAGCCGTGGTAGCTCAGGTGGTTAGCGGTCGCTGTAAATTTCACAGTACGCGAGCAACCCGGGTTCGATCCCCGCCGGCCACCAATGAAATTGTTAATTGCAATTTGATTTACCACGTGCACGGCGTGAAGGAAAACATTGTGACGAAACATGCATGTCTGAAAAATAAAAAAAAATTTGAAAACATGTGAATTTCGGCAACACGCACTGGGGCAGCGCGGCGGACATTTCCTTGCCCTAAAACTTTCTCAGAAATGAGGGGAGGCCTGTACCCAGCAGTGAGACGTAAACAGGCTGTAACTTTAACTTTTAATTTTTTAGCTTTACTGTTAAGCGGGTATCGTTTAATCATCTGAATCTACTGGAAAAGAGTTTCTAGTAGATCAAACATAAAAACTTTAAGATTTGCGATACTTTGTAACCATGCCCGTTTCCAAGATTAATGATTACCATCCCCTAGCCTATAACCTGCATGGTGGATCTGCATGCATACGTGTAGACAAATGTGGTTAAGCTATCATTGGTTCAAATACTCACCCAGAGACAACATTTAACAAAAATACAATTTGTTGTTATTCCACTGAATATGTGTTGTGATTGCCTCGTGTCTGACATATGGTACTATTGCAATTTAGCTTGCAACCGGAGGTTGGCTTGAATATCGCTGTAATAACAATAGCATCCTTTATTGCAGAGACTGAGGTCCATAATTAAAGATATATTAATAATAATTATAATATCCTCCAGATACAATTTCGGCCACGGCGGCCACTTTCAACAGGGACTAACCATCTGCGCAGGATAGGATTGTAGTATCCGAGTGCATACAGCATTATAGCCAGCACAAGTATAATATAACCTCACGATGTGTCATCCTTGGTAGGAATTGATGTTGGCCGTCTAGGATATGAACACAAACTGCAGACTTCAGTGCAAAACCACAAGACACAGTAAGCTCGTTCTGCGTAGATCGGACCAAAAGTAATGATTAAAAAGCTGAAAGTACTCCGGGGACTTTCACATCGGAACGTCAATCACCTCAGTCCCCCCCCCCTCCCCCGTGACCATGGGTGCTGCAAAGTACCCGAAACGTTGGAAATTAAAAATAAATAAAGTAAACGCGATAAAATCCGTAAAAATTGTTTTATTTCTCTAAACTTCGAATGAAGTCTCTCTTGAGGACTACGATGAAGTGCTTCGTTATCAGTAAAAATAATCTCTGGTTCTCGTCACTCACCATACGAAACACTGCACTATTATTCTGCTATTTTATTTTTATTGTTTTTTTTTTTTAATTTAACCTTTATTACACACTTTAAAACGAGGGATATAAAGGACGGAAGGGCGGAATTTTGTAGGAACGTGTTTCTTTCCCGGCCGAGCTAACCTATCCGTGTTCCATTCGTAATATAGCTACGGTACGGCGTGGCTCTACCTTATTAAATAAATGACGATAAATTTTTTCAAAGTCTGTTACTGAAAAATCTTGCCTCAAAAGATGTTCTGTGAGAACTGGTGCATTGCCTTGCAAAGATAAATTTTTACTGATTTAATGATTTGGCCTACATTTTTTATAAATGACAACATAATAGTCGGCTTTATTGATTTTTTTTTTATGAACGCAACATTTTAGCAAAATCTTTTCCGAATTTCTAAAACTCGTCGCCACGAATAACGAAGTCAACTTTTCAAGCCTTAACTTCTTTGGTTGAGATTCTTCTTTTACTCATAAATGCTCTAATCCAGATTTCAGTCACGGTTTTTGTGCGATGATAAATTTCTTCCGAAACGTTTTTACGCAAGTCTAAATATCCTTCTCTGATAATCAAACGCTCGGAGACTATTCTTATGTGCGATATGTCTCTAATTCATTCTTTACTTTATGGCTCGTTCTTCACTACAGTTGTGGCCGGTATTTGGTCGCCTAGAGCAAGCTGTCTTCTTCTCTAGGAACACACTGTTGAAATAAACGTGCCTACGGAACGACCAAAGAGCCGTGCTGGTAGCTGACATACTCGTATCTTATATAACATGTATAGTATATCCATTTGAAAATCCCAAGCCTTCCGTATATTGATGGGAAGCATCATTGTCAGCGCGATGATATCAGCTATGCGCCTACTATGTCTCCTGCTCTACTAACTGTAGAGTATAAGAAAATATTAGCAACGAATGCCAGATTACGCATTCATATGAAATTCTATGCAGGTAGGTACAATTTTAACGTAGTTTAAACTTATGATATAGAAGATTATATTATCTTACAAGTAATTAATTTAATTTGTACAAATAAAATTAGCAATTAATCAGCAAGGCACTTAAATTAGATTCATATATGTAGATACTTCAGATTTGCGATTTCCGTTCACAGGCAATATGGCTTCCTCGGCCATATGTGGCCGTTTTGTCGTGCTTCTCGTTCTGGTGACGGCTTCTCAAGCGCTAACTTTTGACGAAGGTAAGTCTTTATAATAATATATTTTTGAAATATCAAACAACATTTGCGTAGGCTTAAAATGATTAATTTCATAACATATATGTGTACATACATAACATAACATAGTGATAAGAGATAGCGCCGATTCTCGATAATCTGGATTTATTCATGTTTCGTCTGCTTTTGCTGAACAAGCAGGAATGTTAACAATTGAAGCAATGTAGAGGTGCGTTAGGCTTAGACTATTAGCGACAGACATACGGCATAAAAGAACGGAATAGGATTCGTTTCAATGCAAGTAAATTTGCAAACGAGTCTTTAATTTTGTTAGTATTACTTGTAACAGCCAATATTTTACTACAGTTGGTTTTTAGTAAGCCCTTTTTTCTTGAGAATCGTCTAAGACTCTTGATTGTTCTCTTGTATTTAAAATTATTTTCCTTCTTTTGCACTTATCATATAAAAGGCCACGTCGGTAAGTTAGTGAGTATTAGTTATTTTTAATTAATCATTGTAGCCGTGTTTAGATCACGAAGGAAACCCTTCTTATTATTTGTCATTATTATATATATTATAGACCTTCTTTTATGAAATCGAAGTGTCAAACGAATTTACAGTTCGTGCGAAAGTAAGTTACTACTGCAGCCAAGTTCAAACAAAGAAGGCTACAGATGCGTTGTCATCTCTGTGGACAAAAATGGAATGCCACTCCTCAGCCTGTAATTGCTCTGGTCGTCTATACCTCTGTATATTGATTATATAGTATTGTATATAAGTATTATAAATGACGAAGCAAAACGCATTGTCCGAACGCTTAACATATCCACAACGGAAGGATGGAAGCCCGTCGTATGTCTTGTTTTGTTACCCTAGGGTGGAAAAGGGATGGCGAATTAAATTATTGAACAAAGGCTGCTAATCGTGCTATTACAATACGAGTCTCACTTATGTATAGATGATGATGATACTATACATATTTAGTTTAAGAAGCTGGTTAGTTTTCATCAAAACTCTAAAACTATTTACGATTAAATTACAATTAAATATTTGATACCATACCATTTTTTACCGATTTTATAAGGGGAGGAGGATATCAAATGAAAAACTCGAATATATTGTTTTTTTTTATACAAAAACGAATTTTGTAACTAAAATTCGGTCTACGCAGCATAAAAATTGCGGTATTAGTAACAAAAGTTATGTTATTAGATATTTTAAATTATGTACTACGGTATTACCGAGATTAATCAATTGATCTAGCTGGTTTTTTATTCAAGGTTGTATTTTTTAAAATAATTTTGTGATTTTTTAAAATTTCAAGCTCTTCTAATTACTATGGATTTTTGCTAGAGTATCGCGTGTTCTTTAACTATGTTTAATGTAATAATATGGCTATTGTAAACCCATGAGCCTTGACGTCTTAAAAATTGAAATTTAAAATCTACTAATAGTATGAAAAAAAAAACAAAAGAGTTACTTAATGACTCCTGAAATATAGTACTATTTGTGTGCTCATTAGGGTGGCGTTGTCGCGGACTAGAAATAGCATGTCTGCGAGAGCAAAAATGCTTAATGCAACGGTTGATATGTATACGTTATGAAAATTGTATTGTACACTTCAGGTGTAATGATGCAGTTGAATATTTTTACTTTGACCCGTATGTACATTGCACAATTTATTTAACAATTCTAAAATCTGGTTTCAGTAATCTGGATTTCACTGAAAAGGAGGCCGGATATAATGACGAAATAAAAATATTTATGCAATTAAAAAAAAAAGTTACACATACTTCTATACAAGATAGTTATAGGTTAAACTATAGACATACGGCACTCGCGTACGGGGATGGGGAGGGGGAGGCGGGAGGGTGAGGGTTCAGGGGAAGCCTCCCTTACCCATCTCCCCTTGTGGAAATGTATAGTTTATGAGTAATAATTTTTTTTGTAAAATCGTAACCTCTCTTTTTTACACAAGAATATTGACACAAAGTTACTTCTGCAACGGCTTCGGCGCTGCAGGAAGTGCAGCCCCTTCGCCCTTGCGTAGCAATATAGGCGACCAGCCTCAGCCGCTACGGCTCGCTCAGGGGCCTGCGCTTGCAGGCCCCTGAGCGAGCTACAGCGGACGGGGGCTGCTCAACCTCCGCGCCTACAGCTTTACAAAAACACTCTAGGGGTAGGGCAGACAAGACTACGTGGATTCGTGGTGTTTTGAATCAGTTTTAGTACAGATTCGACCTATCTTATCAATAAAGTCAGGTTTCCTTAAACTCTGCTATGATAGAGTCGTCGAAAATACAGGGAAAACACAGCACTAAGCATAAGAGAGAACATTCGCGTGACCATTAGAGAAACGGAATGACAATTGATATTTGACATCATAGATAATATATTATATTTGACATTTACATACGGTTGCCTAAAACATGGTCGTCAACAGCGTCCCGTTTTACACTTGTTACATCGGTTTTTGACATCTAATCTCATAACACAAAATACAAAATTGTCATATTTGCGTTTCGTTATACGGAATTTTTAGTGAAATTTATTCGTAATTAATTCAAAATGCATTTCGGACATTCATAAACAGTGTAAAACATTTATGATTAGCCCTGATAAGCCTCCTAAACTGAAAACATAATTAAAATCAAGTACCAGATATCTATAGCCAACCCTAGTTATATACTTCTTCACTAGGAATTTTTTATGTAAAATAGAGTTTTACTTACACAAATCACATACACAACAAAAAACCAGACTTGGTACAATTATTTCTAATCCATATTCAATTATTTTTTACCACCTTCAAAAAGAAGACGGTACTCAATTCAACTGTATGTTTATTTTTTAATGTGTTACTCATAACTTTTTACTGGGTGAACCGATTTAGATTGATTTTTATTTGAAAGCTGGTGCTTCACATGTGGTCCCATATAAATTTGATTAAGGTCTGACCAATAGTCTTTGAGTTATTTTTTATTGTTAATAATTTATTGTTAATAATTAATATAAGTATTGAAGTCGGTTATACAAAATTTTTAATTTTAAATAATGTTGATAATAGCTTAATAAACGCGCAATGGATGAATTTCTCTTATTAATTATACTGTTTATGATCGTATTTGTAGATTCGTGATGTAGAATTGGCCCAATGATAGTTGCCAACTGAAACGGAAATAACCTCTGAGGTGCGAGACATGTGATGTGTACAGTGTGATGATTACAGCTATTCCTCCCTCCATTGGTTGAGGTATATACTTAACAAGAGTAATCTTTATAATGATATTTTATTTTTTTATAGGATAGGGTTACAAACGAGCACACAGTCCACCTGATGGTAAGTGGTTGCTGTGGCCCATAGACATCTACATCTATTCTCGTTTGCGAATCAAAATGCAGATGCGTGTAACCCATGAGGACTAAGATGGAATGGCTCTTTTCCAGTAAAAAGGGTCTCCGGTTCTCTACACTCATCATACGAAACACAGCAGTGTTAAGCTGCTATTTTACGCTGATATTCTGTGAGAGCGTGGTCCTTCCCCGGTCGAGCCGACCCATTCGTGCTACAACTATACTACTAATATAGCTGCAGCATGGCTCTACCACCTTGAAATTTGAATTTACCACCACACACGCAAATATTTCCCATAGATAGCCCAAAAGGGTTGGCAACTGTAGCTCCTTTATTACTTTGAGGTGTTATCAGGAAGATGCTGCTGCCCGTCTTCTGTTTCCGTTTCCCTATGTCGCCTTTTACTACTTTCATGGGATGTTATGGCGTACTGGACTTTATAGATCTAGATCTATAGGTATATGTGTCCCGCTGCTGTGCATAGGCCTCCTTACTTTTCTGAGTGGAGTTTTGGTAGTTAGTCTGCATACATTGTCCAGAAATATTTCCTAGTTAATATTCTATTTTTCGGACATTTAAGTTTCCTCACGGTGTTTTCTCTTATCGGTACTCCAAGATGGTAATTGAATGTTTCCGGTAGGAAGCGAACGCGTACTATGAGATTCACGGCGAATGCGTTTATTTCTTGAGCTGTTACCGCTACGGCTGTGCGTAAATACGAAGCAAAATGTATGTTATGTTCATTCGGCGGTTGCATCGCGTGGCACTTAGTTTATTTACAAAACGTATAACCATAGGATTTTATTTTTGCGTGTTCCAATTATAATCACAGAGTACGCAGGGAAGCTACACTGTACATTCTCTGTTATATTTATGTCTAAATTCATACGGACCGACCAAATTAACCTTGCCTTGTCCCCAACAACCAAAGCGTTATCCGTTAGTTGCGCTTTGTTAGGTCACAGAGTGGATAATGGATATTATACACATTAGGAGATATCATGCGAGTTTTATACGCTTGCGTTCTTAACATTTCTGCTTACGAGTATAATAAATTGTTAAACAATAAGAACATCAAAACACAAAAACAATCACATAGAAAGTTTAGTGCCCCGCCTGAAAACTTTGTGACTGAATTATAAAAAATTCACACAAGTTAAAATTCCAACGCTGTCTAGTAGTAATCCAACAGGACAGGATCTTTATTCATTAAGGCCAATATTGACTGCCAAAGACCACAAAAAAATTACTATTTTAAATATATGTAATTTAAAGTTGCAGTTGATTCCCAATTTGTCGATTGATTTATTTAGCCTAACTTTGTATTTGTTATTACATCTTACAGTGCTGAATTAAAATTACTTTTTAGGCCTAAGTGAACAAAGCAGCGAATTCAACTTGTTTATAGTAAACCAGTATTGTGTTTAAATACATTTAATCTTCTTTAGTCAGTAGGCTCAATGTCTTATAAAGTAACTTTAATGGCCTGCGCAGATTGGTGGACGGAATGGTAAGGGATTTGAAATTTACCAATTGATTTTAATACTTATTCAGTCAAAATAAGGTATATATTTCAATGCTCGTTGATCAACTTCGGAACATCGCAGCGCAGTTTTCTCTGGAGCATCGAAGAGGACGCTGCGGCGGGAGGCGGCGCGTCGGTATGTGC